CACTACTCTGCTGTCTTGTGTTCGTCTCTCTCCCGTCTAGTTTCATCTTCTCTCTCACATTCATCTCTCTCGTTCCAGAGATTTCTTGTATTTTCAATCTTTTGGTATTTGCAAAAAATACATATTAAAAGGGCAGTTTTGTAAATTAATTATAAACTAAATATTAAAAAAGCCATTTTTAAAATTTAAGAAAGGATGGGCTATTTCTTTTACTTGATCTTATGATATGGGCTACATGTACAAAAGCTCATGTATTTAAACTCGACTTATATATGTATATATATAATCAGGATACAAAAGAACATGTACTAGCATATTATAAAACCACATCAGCTCTATATTTCTCTCTTGTATTTACATTTACACTAGGTTGATTAAATTTACAAAAAAAAAATATTTCTTTGATATATTATTCTCCATCTACACCATTTATTAAGCCTTTTTGTGGTGTAATATGATGCATTAATTCTCCTAAAAGATTCAAAGAAAATTTAAATATTTATTAAAAATAATTAAATCATTAAATGTGCAGCTGAATTTAATATCCATCCTTGCATTTCAAAACAAAAATGTGAAAAATTTTGTTGTTGGGCATAGAAAAATTAATTAATTCTCCGATGGCATCAAGAGAATGAATAAAATTGTGTATATAATTTATTTTATGTTTTTTTAGGAGGATCAATTGCAAGGAATACTATGAACATTCCTGGGGATTATGGCTCTAGATGGTAGGTTCAACATCTCTAATGCAAAAAGCTTTCATTTCTTTCTTTCCTTTTCCTTTGGTTATGACAAAATTACTACTGTGCGTGTTATTTAAATTCATGTAAAAACTTGAAAGTTATTACTCATTTATTCAATGGTTCTTTAAAAAAAAAAAAAACACTAATGGAGGTTTCTATATTTTACTATATGAAACACAAGCTGGAGATATAACCTTATCTAAAAACAAAATCAAATCTACTCTAGTTTGGGAATTCAATCCCAATTCTTCTTCAAAATGGAACATAAAATAAGGTTGTTCTAATCCGTTTTATTCACTCCTACCATCCACTTCACTGCTTATATGAAATATATATCATGATTAACCTTAGCCTTTAATTTTTATTTTGCATCAAAAATTGTGTTAAGGATATTATCCTCAAAACCCAAATTGTCATAATGTATGATATCTTAATTTGTGCAATATTTACTATTTAATGATTACACATGTATTAGAATATTATACAATATATTAATATTTATTTAATTTTAATTTGTGTAAAAATCAAGAATATCTCATGCATTGCACCTTTTTCTCACGTCTTGGTGCGTGGACGAGCAACTCATTATTTTTTTAATAATATCTAATTATATTTCTAGAATGTCAAACTTTAGGCACATCATTGATTACTCATTCGTTGATTACTCCATCAATTTACATTCATTGATCTCTCCTTCAATATGCAAGGTTCCAAGAATAATCAACCCATAATGCATGCATTAATTGATTTTAAATTACATCACTTTTTTATGTGAATATTAATAAGAATGGATGTAGATTTAAATTTTAATAAATTTAATGATTATTTTATTTTGTGAATGTAGTGCAAATATCTTAAAAAATAAATTTTCATTGATTTCTTCTACAATTTACAAGAATCAACACATAAAGATCAATCATAGTATTGTAAATTACATTAATATTTTTAAAATATATTTTAATTAGATTGGATCCAAATTTTGTACAAAGAGACTACATATATATTTGAATCCATTGTTATATACATTTAAAAATTAAGAATATTCATGGTTAAATTTCTATTATGCTTAGCATGTAAATATCTAAAAATAATCTTAAGAATATAGTTTAATCTTGATTTTTAAATTTTAGGACCCAAATTTAAAAAAAAAAAGATTAGAACAATTAAAAAAAATTACTTGAAAAAAGATAAGACATCCTAACACCAAAAGAAAATAAAGTGGAGAAAATAAGATAACCCATAACTCGTGAGCTATAAGTTGGCCCATGGCAGGTTGCAGGGCGGAATGTTTCCACCCATACTCACAAATTTCTTTTTTTCTTTACTTTTATTTTTTAATCCAACTTTTTTCAAATAGATGAAATCTAGTTTTTCTTTGTAAATTAATTACCCAAATATTAATAAAAGTGTTTTTTAAATTAGTTATATTAAATAAAATTAGTTTGGTTATTTTTAACTTGAATAATGTGAGATTTTTAAATAAAGTTAATCATCATTGATAGGAGTGACAATGTTAAGGAAACTTATTATGATAGTGAGTTAAAAATAATATTTTATTAAAAAGGAAATAGTGGTTTTCATTCAAAGTTTCAAATAATATTGGTTTTCTTATTGTTCTTTTGATTTTAAAAACAATGGATTGTATTAAAGAAACAAACAGTAATTATTTATAAAATGCATACGCAGAAGAGGGAATAGGGAAAATGTATTTGATTTTAGGAATTTTGTGAGGAGTGACTAAAGAGGAGAGTTTTTTTTTTTTTTTTTGGCCAACAGAAGATATCATAAAAGCAAACAAGAGTCTTACAAACAAAACAACCAAAAAGAACAGAAAAACTAACCAAAATCTCTAATAGGGAAATCAGAAATTAACAAGTTAAGCAAAGGAATTGGGGGTCTAACAATCCAATCTAAGGGACATAATTTCTTTAAAGAAGCCTTAGCAATCCAATTAGCTACCAAGTTAGCTTCTCTAGGAACCCACGAGAACAAGCAATTCCTAACAAGGTTCCTCTTAAAGAGGATATTCTCAAAAAAATAGACACACTTTCAATTAATAGGAGCCAAACTAGAGGTTAAGCAATCAATCAGACATTTAGAATTAGATTCAAAGAAGACATTAGAGAGATTCTTTGAAGCAGTAAACTCCACTACTCTGTCCATAGATAAGAATTCTACGTGAAGAACAAAAGAGGCTGGTTAAACCATTGATGAACCATCCACAATCTTACCATTACAATCCCTTACAACAAAGGAAGCAGCGGCAAGCATTAAATTAAAATTGAAAGCACAATCAGTATTTATTTTAATGAATCTGATTCAATGAGATTAATAGCGCTAACATCAGAGTTAGACCAGCCATTATCATCCCAAAATTCACATAACATATCATAAGCACGAGAGTTAACTAGGCAAGGGTCCATGTTAGCTTTTTCATACAAAAAGGAGCATCTAGACTTCTAGATCTACAGAGAGAACAAGCAATAAGAGCCTTTTGCCATTGATTTAAATTCTCATTAACAATCCAGAAAGATAACCAATGATTTATAGAGGAAATGTTGTGCGCAGAAATCCTCAGAGAAAAAGGGCATGCAAACCAGGCAGCCTTAACCCAATCACATAAAAGAAATGTGCTCAAGAGATTCCACAGAGTGGGAACAAATACCACAAAATTCAGATATGTTGCAGCCCCTTCTTTTCAAATTTTCAAAATAAGGCAAAGCATTTGAGACAATTCTCCACAAGAAGAATTTGATTTTATTTGGAATTTTAAGATTCCAAATTGTTTTCCAAAGATTTTGAGAAATGGAAAAGGAGGAGGAAGGTTTATTAGTCGTAACAACAAGATTTAATGATTTTGCAATCTTATATCCTTCTTTAATAGAATAAACACATCCTTTTCCCCTAATCCAAGTCCATTTATCACCCCTTCCAGACAAAATTCTCTGAACATTCATAATAGCTGTAACTTCATCTTTGGATAACCAATGCTTAATAAAATCTAAACTCCATTGGTTATTAACAATTAGTTCCTCAACAATCATGTCTATCCAATCCTTAAAAGGGCAAGGAGAGGAGATTCGCATGCCTGGTAGAGTGGGCACCTAAGCATCGATCCAAACCTTTGTCATTCTTCCATTTCCAATGCTTGAAAATGACCTATTTTCCAAAATCTTACGCCCATCCAAGATGCAAAGAGGGGAGGATTTGTGTGAGTAGGCTGAAGTTTTAAAATATCAAAAGAAAGAAAAATGGGCTAATTTGAGGGTTGGGGATTAGCCGTGGGGCAAGCCCAAGTTAAGCGTGTCAATTGAAAATGACCCACTCTAACTAAACTCTCATTTTTCTAACTCAACTCGTTATTGTTTAATTGGTTGATAGATTGAACCTACTGGCTTAATTTAGATTATCAACTATAAAAAAGGGAGTTTGTTCTTGATTAATAATAATGTATAAACTTTAGTACCCAACATAACATTAAATTAAAATATATAGATGACATGGATGATGAAGCACATGGAACATAGCCAATTTAGTTAATAAAAAAGCTTATTAATTTGTGAGATGAGTTAATAAAAATTATATGTAATACAAAACAAATCGATAATGTCTAGATTATTTTCACTATATCTTCAAATTCGATCATAATTTTTTTATGAAATTTTCCTATACTGTTTCAATCCCAAATGGGAGAGATGAGACATAAGAGAAAAATTCAATCCTTATTCCTTTTCATGATTAAACATGGATATAGTTGTTATAATCTCATTCTATAATATCCACACAATTATTTATATCAAGTAGGTACTATATATACTTAATCTTGGCCTTTAATTTAAAAGGAAAAAGAAAAGTAATCATGGGATATATATTTCAGTGAATTTATATGTTGCATTTTGAATAGATTAAATGATAGTAAATGACAATTTATAAGTTTTTTTAATATTACTATTTGATGATTGAACATATTCGAGCATTGCTAAACTTAATTAGATATAACTCTCACAAAAACATTTTTTATATTCTCATAAATTTAAACTCTGAGACCTCATATACTTAAACAAAACAATATTACTTATATCATTAGGACCACTTATATCATTAGGACCAATGCCTGTTGGTTATAATTGACAAGGTTGAATATCCCAATCATATAATTACGTATATAAAAATATTGTATAATATTTAAATTTTTATTTAATATTATTTTATATAAAAATCAAGAATTTCCCGTGCCCTATGCACGGGTGTATTGCTATTTGCTAGTATTCCAGAAAGAGGAAAGCCAGAGAATGCGTAAAATTCATTTGTTAGACTAGACTAGACCCACAAATTTTGAGATCGAGGATAGAAGAGAAATGGCGAAATTCTCGCTTGGTGGGGACGACGATGGGGGGGGACCCAGTAACCCGACCCCAAAGCGACGTAGGATTGCTGTTAGCTGCGGCATCGTCGGAGAAGACGAACGACAAGAGATCGGAAACCCAAGTGGAACAGAAGACGAAAGAGATGATATAGTGCAGGAACTAGAAGTGCTACAAGGAGAAGAAGATCTACGTAATGATGATTCTGGCAATTGCTTTGGAGCCAGATCAAGCAATTGCGGTGAAGACAACAATGTTTTCGCGCCTGAAAATAGGGATAGGTCCATTTCTGTCACCCTTAGCGACCCTGACGTGTTTGATTGCTGCATCTGTTATGAACCCTTGAGTATCCCTATCTTCCAGGTTGGTTTTTCTTGCCTATAATTATTTCTTTATCGATGAAGAATCTTCCTGCGCTGTTGCATATATGATCAATGGCTTGAATATGAGGCAGTTTGCACTTCCTCTTTGATCAGTAAACATGGGTATTTGCTTGTAGCTTCATGAACATGAATCTAAATTTTCTGATAGCATCTGAAAGGATTGCATCAGAAGCTTGGGGAATTTCCAATTTGAAGTTGTGTGTAAGTTGAGTTTCAAAGTTTAAAATTTAGATGAAGTGTGCAGCCAATGGTTAGTGGTTGTGGCTTGAATTGACAGATTATTTGTCTCGCATATCACTATGGGTTAGGATTGTTGGTGGCCTCTCTGAACAATCTGGATGGCAATAGCGGGAACCTTGCAGTACTCTTTTGGCTTTTGCGACCCTTGATTAGTTTTATTGGCTATTTTCTTAAGACAATTTGAATGCAAATCTTATTAAAAAGCTTATTCTAAGCTTCTGGTGAATGTCAATTGACCATGCTTCCGTGATTTTGCCTGAAAAATGGTTCAGGAATGTTCAAGCAGTGAACATAACTTTATTACTTGGTTACGTGCTTCCCTTTTTTTTTTTTTTTTAAGGATAACCGTGCATAGCCAAAAGTCTCGGCTCCAGAAAAGTAAAAGTCTTGATAGTATAATATTTTTATGGTAGCACCACCTTCTCTTCAGATGCATAGCTGTTTATACAATGGCGATGTATCAACAATATAGTTCGTTTTATGTTTCTGATCATAACAGAATTGTGCTACTAGAAATGTGAATTTTTTATGTGCTGCATTTTTGTCTATGTTCTCTTCATTTGCTGTAGAAATTTCAATAATCAACATATCAATATATTTTATAAAATCAGAATAGGTTTTCACCGGTGCTTTTATGTTTGTTTACTATTTATTGACATGACAGTTGATTTACTTTTTAACTGGGTGCGATCTTAAAAAAATTATGAATCCCTGTGCACAAGTTTGAGACAAGTTAGTAGAATATAATCTGTTGAATTTTAATACTATTTATTAATAATTTATCATGTTTTTGCTGTTTTTAATTTTGATGCATTGAAATGAACAATGTTCATGTTGGTTTTGGTTATCAATTTCCATGTTGCCTTTTGGTCCCGAACTCCTGATACTCACACAGAGAACACGCTGATTGTAACATTGCTGTTTGGCAATTTAATTAAAAGATCAGATTATTTGTTTCATTATGGATCACCAGCTTATATCTACTGAAGAAATTAAAGTATTGATTTCTTTCCCTGAGGGGCACGATGTATAGCTGAAACAACCATGCATTCATCATGTTTGCACCATAGAGGACATTTCTTTGAAAAATTATTTTACTGTCAAAAGCTGTTGAACTTATCTACAGGCTCATTGGTAGATCTCTAAGATGTTGATTACTTGTATGGTTAGTTGGTTTTATTTTTGAATTGATGCTGTCTTTTGAAGTACTGAAGTAATTTGGCTAAAGTACCACATTAGAGGTAACATACCATTGGAACAGAAAAAAAAAAGGGCAGGTAGGGAAACAATAGAAGTGTAAATCTTAACCTTGGTGACCCATTCCTCATCATAGTGATTGATGCTATTTTCCAAAGGCTGTTTCAGCCAAGATTTGTCTCATTATTTTTTTTGATACTTTATTCATTATCTGTGTAAGTAGCTGTGCAAAAAAATGAACTTCTGTTGGTTGCAGAATTTTAATTTGATAAGATGCTTTTGTTTCAGTGCGAGAATGGGCATATTGCTTGCTCTTCCTGCTGTGTTAAACTTGGGAACAAGTGTCCCACGTGCTCTATGCCTATTGGCTACAACCGTTGCCGAGCCATTGAGAAGGTGCTGGAATCTGTTAAGATATCCTGCCTAAATGCACAATATGGTTGTAAAGAAACAATAATTTACAGTAAGAAAATTGACCATGAAAAGCAATGCATTTATGCACCACGCACATGTCCACATTCAGGTTGTAACTTTGTTGCCCCGTCGAAGGAGTTGTCACTCCACTTTCGCCGTAAACATGGGGACTCTGCGAGAAATTTTACCTATAATTGCTTCTTCTCTATCTTCCTGAGGGTTAACGATGAAGTTATTGTTCTTCAAGAACAGAATGGTGCCGATCTATTCATGCTCAAGAATAAAGTGGGTGATCTGGGGAATATAGTCAACGTTAGTTGCGTTTGTCCCAATTCATTCCAAAAGGCATGTCATTATGATATTTTGGCTAGATCCCAGGGATGCTGTCTGAAAATACATTGTTTAGCGGAGAACAATCCTGGTCGCAAAGCTAATAATACTGCTCCAACAGGGTTTCTTTTGGTCCCATCTTGGTTTTTTGATTCTTCTGGACAGCTCAAATTGGACATTCGCATTAATTAAGTGATTACTCGTGCAGATGTCCAAAGATCGTAGTGTTGTATATTTGTAGACTAAAGGGAAGTGTCATCTCTTGATCTGTTCCCGTTGTAAAAAGTAAGGGGATTATAACAAGCAGATCAAAGAACTTATTCCTTTTGGCCATATCTGACCTTGTTAGAATTTCTGGCATGAATGCAATTGCAGTGTTGGTATGAGTGTGCCATTATATTGGCTTGATATGGTTGAGATTATTTGAATTGACTGTGTTTTAATATTAACCTCGTTTGAAAGGTGCAGGTCCATCAGATTATGATTTTTTTCTGGTGATTATCAAGCAATGTAAAAATATTGATACTAGAACATCCTCAAGAGAATTTGATTTAAGAGAAAAATTGAATAAAAAGATGAAAAAGGATAATTTTTTTTCCCTATTCCATCCATTTGGAAAACTTAATTGAATGGTTTTTAATTTAAATTATTTTGTAATTTGATTCTTGTACTTATAAATTTATAAATAGCTTCTTATAGTTTTAAGGTTATCAAAGTTCTCAAATTTTTTAGTTTAAACTGAGGTTTTGAAAATCGGAGTGAAATGGCGAGTTTACAATGGAAAAGTTATTCTTGGTCTTTTGGTTTATTAATCCAGTCTATTCCCACGATTTCTGTATCAAAACCAAACGTTTTTAGCACAATTTATCAATCCGCACTCTATTGCAGCTGCATAATGATAGCTTAGACTTTCAACTAAGAGGGATCATTATTTTGCTCTATCTAATTTTGGGGAAAAGGAATCTCGCTTTTCATAATGGTATCATTTTATTTCCTATAAAAGTGGTAAAAGAATTTCATCAGGCTTTGTCCTTATTTGTTAAATATTTCTTCTGTTTTAATTGAATTTTATCTTTCAATAAAATAGTTACTTATTTTCAAACTAATCTTATTTTTTAATATTTATTCTTATTAAATATTTTACAATAAGTATAAAGTCATTCATTAATAGAGGTACTTTTTTTTAAAAAAAGCAATGGTTATATCTTAAAAGACTAAAAATATTTTATATTTTTAAACATCTAATTTCTCAAAAAAATACTTTATATTTTTGAACGAATGGAGTATTTGTTAGTTGTTTATTAAATATTTGTTAGTGGCCTCAGCAAAATAAATTGTAGTCTTCTCTTCATCATTTTGCTTCCTCACCCTACTTAAGTTGTGATGCTGAAATGCCATATCCTTGTGTTTGGAATGTTAGAATGAGAAAAATATAGGATTTGAGAAACTACCTTTGTGCTTGGCTTTGTTTTATTGCAATTCAGTTGTTTTAGATAGTATAAGTGGAGACGTTCAATCATCATAGATTTCAATTGCTTCAACTTTCTTGTGTTAGAATGAGAAAAATAGAGGATTTGAGAAACTACCTTGTGCTTGGCTTTGTTTTACTGCAATTCAGTTGTTTTAGATAGTATAAGTGGAGACGTTCAATCATATCATAGATTTCAGTTGGTTTAGATAGGATTTGAGAAACTACCTTGTGCTAGGTTTTGTATTTGGGCTGCTTTATCATAGATCAAGGCCTATCTGGCTACCCCACAACATCATCTTTCAACAAAGTTGCATCTACTTCCAATGCTTCAACAAAAAGCTTTTTCACGGGTTATTAGAATATTACTGGTTCCATCCTTTCGTGCGAGACATCACCAATCTAATTATTCTACTAGCCTTTATATTTTCTTATCACCTTGTTCTTTAGACTTTTCCCTACTTATGTATTGTAAACTCTTGTTTGTTAATGTTATTATTGATCTTTTTTATATAAAAAAAAACACAATTTTTTTTATAAGCAAAATTATACATTTCAACAAGTATTTATCACAATTTTTTTAAATTATTTTTCATAAAATTATAGTTTTCATTTGTGAGATAAAACATTAATACAAATTTATTTGATTAAGTATAAGGATATTTTAATCCAGTTTTTTTTTAATTTCATACATAATTATTACAATTAACTAATTTTCTTATAGGTATGAATTAATTATTTTCTCTTATGTAGAAATAGATGGAGTACCAAACAAAATAACAATAAATATTGTTGCATTTCATTTCCTTCAATTATATTTCTCTGAAAAAAAATTTTATAAATAATTGAGATTTCAATGTTACATTTTTTGAATTTAAAGTTGATCAATATTGTGACGTGGTTGATTATCATGGGACCATTATTTTTTTTTTCTGAAAAGCTAACTTAATGGGATATGTAGCATATTTGTTTATATATTTAGAATTCTTTTTAAATTCTTTTGATGTGTAACGTAACAACTTCCTTAGACTAATGTGTGATGTTATCATCATAGCCCACTAACTAGGCCAACAAAGGTTCAGTTTTGAGATTACTTGATCACGAGCTATCACCCTCTCACAAAAAAAATAACTCAATAGGATTTGCAATGCACCCTCTCACATATCCAAATCCTTTCTAAGGTTCCTCTGAGAACATTGTGCTCTTTTTGGGAATACAATAATATTGATGTTGATTATCAATCCCCTCAAAATGCCAAACTAGACATAAAACTCTACGACTTGTTTTGGGCTTCGAGAGGGAAAGAGCGACAGGCCGAACACTTGAGTGGTTGCTTATTATACTGGAAGAAGAGCTCCCTTATCACTTCACTTGACGACGGAAAAATATCTATGCAAGGGATGCAAGGGGCTTGAGCCTATAGCGAATGTGATAATATAGCAATCAAAATGTCAATACTTCAGCACCAGTTCTTGTGTCGTCCTCTCACTCGATTCCTTTCCTCCAAACTCCCTCTCACTTCCAGGGCCTCGGCTTCACCCCGAGGATCATCATCGCTCAGCGTTCTGTCTCTTGGCGTAGCTCATGCTGACAACGTACCCAGCTCGCCATGTAATTCTTCTCTGGCGCTATTTTCTACCACTTATTTTATTGGGGATTCGCGGGGCAGACACGCCATCGGTGCGTTCTTGGTTTAATTTAATCTGGCTTTTCTTCTCCAATTTTTCTGGGTCGTCAAGTTGTGTCTAGGAAAGGATTGTAAAGGAATAACATGGTCTTCGAAACTCTTTGGCCATCTCTAACTTGATTGGTTGGGTTTTGTGAAGATAATGTGGAGCAGTTTGCAGAGAATAATCTTGATATGCCTAGAGTGGACATATTGAAGCAGAAAATGCAACTTCTTGGCATAGACTTGGAAAATTCTTGTTTGCCTGGACAGTACCAGAACCTGTTCTGTCCTAAGGTATCTGTTCCTATCATTTTTAGGAATTTCTGATCTACTGTCTGCACGAAGTGTTTGCTTTTGTCCTTTTTCACCCTCCCTAAAATGTTCTTCGGTATTGTCTATTTTTCGGTTCCAGTGCAAAGGAGGACAGTTAGGGGAGAGAAGTTTGTCCTTCCACATCATATCTGATGGGTAAGCTTCTTCTACTTGATTTGATATGTGGTGATAATTACCTGATTTTTGTAATGACTCAGTGATGGCCACTGTGTGTCCTAGTGAATTTGCAATGTGGAGGTGTTTTCGAACTTCATGTGGGTGGGCTGGTCAGGTAAAATAATGTGGTCCTGTCTCTTCTCAGTCTCAAATGTAAATCTTCTAAATTTGCCATAATTCTGTATGATGAGTTGGTTATAGGCTTTTGCAGGTGACAAAGAATTGTACCGCAGGATTGGTCAAAAGTCTTACGGAACAATGACTGAGGAGAGTTTAGGATTAGAGCCGCTTGGTCCTGAGGTATTCAAATGACCTTTTAACTTATCACCTAACAAATGAAAACCAGTTTCCCAAAATGAACTCTTTTGAAATTTTCTTTGCATTGTTATGATATCAGAGCTCTTTCGAAGGTCTCTTCTAATTAAATGGAAAAAATGTCATTATGTTACAAAAGGTGATTCCTCTTACAAATAATGTGGGCAGTAGTGTCCGAGGTGCATTCTGCATTAGGCCAAGCCGACGTCTTTTGACTATCTTTTATGATTTTGTTATTCTTTTTCTATTTCTCAGTTGTAGTGCCTCAAACAGGGGATCCACGTGGAGTTTTTAGTTAAGATACTGTCGTACCCATTGGAATCTTTTTTCTTCAACATTTTCTTTCCCCCTTTTAATCCAAGTTGAATTTCTCTTTGAGATTTATTCTCTTGCCTCTTTGTCCTTTGTTATAACAAGGGCAATATATGTTTCAATGACTCAGCGGTACATTTTCACCCTTTATGACCATAAGCAACAATTACAAATTTTTTCTGGCAGTTTGTAGACCTATTGTATTTTAATTATCAAACAATATTAGGTACATAATAGAGGTCTACAAAATGGAGGACCAATAATGTGGTTTGAAGAGCTCCAATATAGAATCAAATTACCAGGTGATGCTGGTTAATAACTTCATACATACCCAATCAGGAGAAAAGAAGGTCAAACTGCTGTCTTAAACGCATATCAATGTATGCATGCGTTATAAACAAGTTCTCTATGCGATCATGTGTGTGCCAAAAATTCTTTTCGAATTCATAACATTTAGTCTGATTGTTTACATGTTTTGATTTTCTACTTTCCTATTCTAGCTTATTGCATACTTCAAGGAGAGGCTGATATCAGAGAAAACTCTCAGCAGAAATTCTGTAATGCAAATGTCTGACAACAAGGTATTTTGAACTATGCCAATACAAAACCTCTCATTTTTTATTTTGTGATTACAAAAAATCTACTTTCTGTTTGATAATTTCCTTGAGTGTCCTTCTGGGTGTCTCTTCCAAATCACCTTAAATAATTTTCTATAGTTTTACTTTGTTAGATGCTGTGCCAACTTTTCCTTGTATATTATCATTATGAATATTGTTTTTTCCTTCTTGTATGACCATACATCTAACTCAACATCCTCATCTTTGCTATCCTGATTATTTTCTCTTAATATCCTTTTAACACACAACTTTCACTACCATATAGCATCCTTGGTCATATAATAGTTTGGCAGAACTTCTGTTTAACCTTAGTATGTACTTTATAGTCGCAAATGACTCTTGATGCCTTTTTTCCATATCAACCACCCAACTTTTATCCTTTGCATAACATCTCCATCAATTTCACTGCCATCTTATAATATTAATCCTAGATACTTAAACTTTGACACTTTGTGATATGGTATGATCTCTAAGTTTACCTTTTCGTTATTGTATGGTGAAGTGCACACAAAATTTGCTTTCAAAAAGTCTAGGCAAATCTGACCAAATTGTTCGTGTTCAAGGATATACAATTGCATACTAGTGATTTGAAGTAGTGAAATTCAGACATTTAACACTTTAAAGTTTAACCATGAAAAATGTGTTTAAATGTATTTGCAAATGAGAAAATTCTGATTACTTTTTAAGTTTTCTGTAGAATGTAATCGCTTTTACTTACAAACGGAATGGGTTGCTTGTTGGCTGCAAATACCGAACTATGGAGAAAAGATTTTGGCAGGTAACTTTGAAATTCTTCTGCATTTAGTGTTCTTTGTCTAGCCGTGCCTTTGCATTCTCACTATGGTGTCCCTAAATGATCGAGTGAATTTTCTGAGCTCATCATTTCAGATTTAGATTCCTCATCCTTCAGATAATTTAGAAAGTATCAAACTTGCAGTGTTAACCGGATAAGTGGGTACCACTTGTATAGTGGCTGTTGAAAACACATTTCAAGCATTAATTTTTACAATTAAAGGAGCAGATGAAAATTTATCACATTGTCAGACTTGTCTCCATTCTTCATTTTAATAGAATTTTGCTAAAATTGACAACTGAAATGGTACAGAGTTAAAGAAAGGGAGAAGTCTTGTTGCTTTGGACCTTTACTTTTCCTGAACCTCTATTTTTGGGTGTATAATAGATAGGCATCTCAAAAAAGATTCTTCAGTAACCATTACTCCTTGATTCTATAACTAATGGCCAATCAACCCTTTAAGAATCAACAGCCAATAGTCACATTTAATCATAGTAGATCTAGCATTATGGCCAATTGAATAAAGGTCCGTCTATGAAACATGTGAGCTTGTGAGTATCTTCTTAAACCTTGGAATTTATCAACTTAGTAAATTTACTTTTATGAACGTGTCAATTTGAAAATAATATTTTGATAATAATAATCTGATGTGCGTTGCAAATGCTGAATTTGATGTACAGGGAAAAGGTACAGACAAGATATTGTACGGACATGATGACATCAGTGATGCAGCTGAAATTATTATTGTAAATTCCATGTGGTCATTTTGCCCATGTCTTCATATTATCTGAATTACACATCTTTAGATGTCACGTTGCCACTCTCCAAGATAAAACAATTAAAAGAAAAGAGATGAATATTGTGATACAATCTCGTGCTGATTTTAGGTTGAAGGGGAAATAGACAAGCTTTCATTGGAGGAGGCTGGCTTCCGAAATTGTGTAAGTGTCCCAGGGGGAGCACCATCAAAGGTTTCCTCAAAAGATTTGCCACCCGTAGAAAAGGTTTGATTTCATATTGGAACTTGTCAGGACTTGGGATATGATGCTGATTTTAGTTTTTAAGGCAATATGATTCGCAAACTAATTTTTTGTGCATAAAAAGACGGGAATTTGATTTGTGCCTGTTGAGAGTTTATGTTTATATTATATTCCCACTAGTCTAGATCATGCGCAGGTGCTTCTTCTTGTTTTTTTTTTTTTTTTTTTTATCATTTTTTGGTGTATTTCAATAACCTTATACACACACTTAGCTTTTTCATTGACAATTAATTTTTAAATTAAATTGTCTGTTTAAAGCACTCAATCTGCATTCCTAATGAAATGCGCTTCCCTCTGCTCCCCCCCCCCCCCGGGGTCAATGAAGAAATCATATTTACTGATGCCTTTGTGTAAATTGTACACGTCTATCCCATCTTTGACTCTGATGTTTCTGTCTATGAAAATGGACTATAGACCCTTTTATGATTTTGTACAAAATTGTTTTTTTTTTTTTTGGGCAACATGGAGGCCTGTGAAAATCATACACATTGGTACACATTTTTCCTATGATAGTACAAAAGTGCAGAAAATAAACTGCGCAATAAGTAACTTTTCATGACTTACTGTCCATTCCATCTCTATCTATTGACATCCTCCTTTGAGATTTCTATATTTTCTGTTCTTTTCATTGTATATTTAGTAAATTGTCGATTAACTTATCCATTCAATCTATTAATTTGTATACCAATTTCTTAATTAAGCCAGGATACTGGATATCAATACTTGTGGAACTGCAAAGAGTACTTGGATAAGGTTAGTGATATGGTTTCTTCCCTTCCAATAGTATCTTGAAACAGAATTAAACACGTAAGTAGTTTCTCTTACTCTCTGTTCTTATAGGTAGATCGCATTATCTTGGCAACCGATAGTGACCCACCAGGTCAAGCTTTAGCTGAAGAGTTAGCACGTCGACTTGGGAGAGAAAGGTTATATAAATGCAGTAATTTATTTTTCATGATATATTGAGGGTGTACTGAATGGAAATGTATACTTGGGACTTTGATGTACAAATGTGCATGGGTAGATTGCTCCCCTCACCCACAGCATGGCTATTGAGGATCAAATGAGTTAAAGGCGACTTAGAGATAAATAACCCACTGCTTCATGCGTCAAATTTAAGTTTCATGTGACACATGTTAGAGATAAATAAAAAGATAACTTAACTATAGGAAGTAGCTACCGTATGCCCCTATGGGACTTCATTATACCTTAGTGCCTATAAATTCCTATATGTCATGCACTGAATTCTGTTGATGAAATATCTTTGCTAATTTTCTTCTTGCCTTCTATCATCATGCCTGATCATAATTTGGATAAGGTGGGGTAAGTCGTCTATGCTCCATATCTAACTAATGAGGTCAAGATTCCTTCCCTTCGGAATGAAACAATTTTACTGGAACTGAGGATATATTCGACGCTTTTTGTGGTCATGCTTTCTTTATGGTTCACTGAACTTGAGGCTTGCGGGCTATAATGCTCTGTTACTTGTAGGCTTTGACTTATTTACTGCTCCCTCTACTTCATTTTATTTAACGTTGTGTGCTTTTTTCCCTTGAACTTCAGGTGTCGGCAAGTACATTGGCCAAAGAAAGATAAACAAAGCTTTTTCAAAGATGCTAACGATGTAAAACTGTGGTTTTTCATGTCTATTTCTTTTCCCCCTCTTATGATATTTGTTGTAGAATAGGACGTTGACAACTGATTAAATATGATGGAATATATTATTCCCTTTGTGGGGTCTGGAAAGTTACGTTTCAGTTATGGCTTTTTGAGCATCATAGAAAATGAATCTTTCAGGAGTCAATTTAATTTAATATAACGCTGATGCTTTTTGCCTGTCAATTGTAAATGCAAAAGATATTTGTCTTCAGGATATGCTAATCAACTTTTGTGGCTGATGGACACAGGTTCTGAAATACATGGGAGCCGGTGCTTTAAAGAGAATAGTTGAAAATGCAGAGCCATATCAATAACCGTTGCACAAAGGGTTACGGGTGGTATCAGCGTTACGATAGAATTATAAGAAGGCTTCACTATTATTTTCAAGTGCGGATGTATAATCTGTAAGTTGATAACTGATATAGGGCTTTTTTACATTCATGTGCAGCAACTGCAACTACACACACACTATATTAATATATTAATTGACTCTCTCTCATTCGATATTATTTCGTTTTGTTAAAATCACATTTGTATAATTTCCTGTTAAGCCTTAGGATATGCATACAAATAAATATTTTGTGACTCGACACTATGGTTAATACATGTATTTTAAATTGAATATAAGGAATTATTATTTGTAAAGATTGGATCATAATTTCCATGCTACCATAAAAAAATCACATACCTGGATGTATAAGTCAGAATATTAGATAAAATAATTAAGGACTAATTATTATTAAGTGAGAGCGTTCAGCTCTGGAATAGATGGCCTCAAAGTCGGGGTTAGCCGGTGCGGTGGGGATAAATTTGGGTGGGTTCATTTGACTCAAACCAGTAGGAGCTAGTGAGGCAATGAACAGGTGTCAAGCTCAGGAAGGATCTTCACATCTTTCACCGCCATAGGACAGAAGTTGGATATTTATGTTGTGGCCATGGGCCATGGCAGAGCAGTTAGGCAGAAGGAAGAAGAGGAAATGAGTTCGAGGGGTGACGGAGGAGGATGGTCCATAAGCGCACCACCAGCGCAGGTGATAGCCGTTGCAGGCATCGTGGGGTTCTGGCTGTGGTTCCCATGGCACCCAAGCAGCAACAAGGCGAGCAGCAGCAGCATATACATGAAGATTCTGCTGCCGCTTCTGCTGATGTGGATGGCTTACTCTGTGTTAAGATATGGACGCCTTTGCCTTGTGGCTGAGGCACCCAAGCTGAGTGCCGGTCGTGGTGGCGGCCACTCGCCTTGGGGCGTTGCTTTCTTGCTTCTCTTGCTTCTGCTTTTGATATCATACCACCCCAATTGGTAACTTTTCACATCTCTTGTTCCTTCCCTTCACAACACTTACTGGAATAGCGGGTTTTGCAGCTTTTTCTCTTTACTCCTTTTGTTTGCTACTGTTATGCTTACTTCATGTACAAAGGCTACGTTTAAATGTGGTAAGTTATTTCCTTTTGCTCTCCCCTGTTGTGTGAAACAAACTCGGTGCGCATTTATAAATAAAATAATTAAAAGGTGTAAAAAAGAAAATGACAGTCCTCCCCAATTCTTCGAAACATATGGTTTGGGTTTTGCGCTCTCCACTGAATACTCCTGATGCCCCATGATATATTTACTTAGTATGGAGGTGGTTGTTCAAATGTTGCAGAGGTTCTGGTATGATGGATCTCCACACAATTATTTTGGCTTGAAACAAAGTGCATAGCATTTGACAGCTCGAATAATGATATTGGGAAATCAGTCGCTATGTTAATTAATAGATACACAATCATGATTTTGTAAAGATATTAATTAATCTTCATCAGTACAAAGATTGAAAACCTACTTGTATAAATAAATAAGGATTAAGGGTTAATTTTATTTTTAAATTATTTACAAAATATTATAAATATTTTTAAATTTAATTATGGATCATTTATATTTTTTAACCTTCAAATTTTTTTGCTTCGTTACCTTACCGCTTAGTCAATATATTTTGACCATTTGTGGTTTTGTGGGGTCCATGATTTTATGCAAGCCATGTATGTACAGCTTTCACTTTTTAATATTTTTTATAATAAAATATTTTACCTGTGGGTCCTACTTTCATGTCTTCATCCCATTCCTAAACTCTCATCCATTGCCTCTCTGTCCATCTTCTCTCACCCCTCTCCCCTTCATTCCCTCTCTTTCTGGTCTCTCCTCTCTCTCCTTCATTTCATCTCTTCATGGTCTCCCCTCTCTCTCCTCCTCACATTCTTCCACTCAAACTTTCCTCTCGACTCTATTCACTTTGCTTCCTCTGCCTCCAAACTACGTTCCTCTCATGCATAGCTCCATGTACCCTCGTCCGTTCTTGCACCTTGGCGCACAAACCTGTCTCGGATCTCTATGCATTCGAGACTCAGATTTCGAGCAACTTGAGACCAACCTCCATCATCTTCAACGCCTTGACCAGCTCAAGAGCAACGCCTCAACAAGTCATCGTCCACATCCTTTGAGGTACTTGCTGCTTATGTGTGGAACACGTTCGTGTTGGGGTGTGGTCAAAGCAATGCGAATGAGTGGGAGGAGAAGGGTATGGGGTACAGGTCAGGTTTGGTGAAGAGGACGAAAGAGTAGAGCTGAATTCGAGAGAGAAGGAATGAAGATGAGAAAGAGAGGAGAGAGGGAAAGGAGGGAGAGGGAGGCAATGACACCGTGAACCATCACCTAACTAATCAACAACAGAGAAAAGGTCGCTAGACTAAACACCATTGAAGGAGAGAGGATGAAGGAGGAGTGCTGTTTACGACGGCATTAGGCGTTGACAACATTCTTCACTCTCTCTCTGTGAAGTGGAGGAGGAAAAGAGGAGGTGCGTGGCTCTGCACCAAGCAAAAGAATGAGACTCGATTTACTCCTTCACAGCAACAAGAACAAAGGAGGCAGAAGACACATCACTAGCCAAGAACAAAAATAAAGAAAAGACTGACAAAACTGTTGAATAGTACTAAAATTAATAAAAATTAAATTTTACAGTAAAGTGCAACTTAGATTATCTCTCTAAGAATTAATAGAGTAATTATTTAAATTATGATTATGAAAAGGTAAATGATGGGATTTTTTTATAATGAAATTAATTAAAAAATCTAAATTAAAATTAGATAAATAAAGAAAATTCAACTATCAAGCACAAGCAGCGCAATCAATTACAATCCAATCATCTAAATTTAATCTTCCTCGTCCACCAAATAAATCAATTTTATTTACCTTTATTATTCTAATTTTATTATATATTTTTCAAATTATCATTCAAGAATTAAACAAGAGATTAAGTTATAGATTAATTGAGAACTCCTTTAACCTATAACCTAACAACTGTTCTATGTTAGTCATACCAGAAACAAAGCATGGATAATCACCCAAGCTAGGCCAAATTACTCTTATAATGCTATATCAATCGATTATATCAAGTAAAACTTCAGATAAAATTTATAACTCAAAAATTATGCAATAAAGCTACTTTAATCAGTAATAGTAATTAGAAAATAAAATTTAAAGGTAGAGAGAAAAAGGAAAAATTGGAATAAAGCTAAAATAAAATTTTTCCTGAATATTAAAGACTCTGATTAAAATTAAGGATCATAGTTTGTGATTGATCACACTAAAAAAAAGACTCTGATTAAAATTAAGGATCATAGTTTGTGATTGATCAAACAATATACTGTGCGAAGAAGAGAAGCCATCGCCTCAGAATTGGAGAACGGGATTAGAAGATGAAGAGTGATCCTTTTCGGTCCTTCCTCCGTGACGCGTTCATTCCTTTTATATATATATATATATATATATATGAGTGATGCGTTTTCTTCTTGTTCTGCGTCTCTCTTCCTTTCTTTTATAATAAAAACTAATAATTTATTAAAAAGATAAAACTACTTTAAATAACTCTAATTAAAAATTATACTAAACCCAAAATAAATTCAAATAAAATTTTAAAAATTTGATTCTTAATTTGATCTCCAAGTATATCCATATTCTTTTTATCCAATATATTCTCTATCAATATCTTTCAAATTGAATTTAAAAAATCTGTACAAATAAAATAAAATTAAATAGCACCTGTGCAAAAATATTAAAAATATTATTTATATTTTAAAATCAAAGATTTAGTTAGTTAAAATTTCAAAACTGAATATTGGCTAATAAAATTAAATAATATCTAATTAAACTCAATTAGCTTCAAATAAGTATTTAAAAGTCTAAATTAAAAAGATAAAAATATATAAAATTATCATTTATCAATTCCCCCATATTTAGACTTTTGCACTCTTAGGCAAAACTTAAATCTCAAAATGCAAGAAAAAAAATGTGGAAGCATCAAAGAATAAGAAACAATCATAGCTCTCCAACATTTTAACATTATAATCAATATCTCTTATATCCAAAATAACAAGTATCATGGCAATTTTATTTGATAAGAATAAATTAAGCAATAGCCCCTCACAAAGGTCAAGTGTTTAACTCTTAACTCTCAAATGTATATAGGTAAGTGTTTTACTCAAGTTTTCCTATCAAAACCTCACTACCATAGGCTTGTTTATCATTTAAGTTTTCACTATTTATGTCATATGCAATACAAAAATCAATAGGACTTTACTTTAGATTGTAATGGGGCTTAGGTAAAGGTATGATATAGAAAGAGGAAAATAAAGGCTAATAAACTTTAGGATAATGAAAAGCATATTTGAAATGAGATATATATAAAATGAAAGAAATAAAATAAATTGATTTAGGTTTGTTTTTCTCTCTTTATTTTGTTTTCATTTCCTTTGCTTCATGCACCTTTTTATTTTTTATTTTTTGATATTTTTTTTTGCTTTTTGCCTTTTATGCTCTTTCTTTCCTTTTTTTTTTTCCTTCCTTCCTTTTTTTTCTTTCTTTACCTTTTGGCTCCCTCTCTCTCTTTTTTCAAAATAACCTAAATCTCTCTTTAAGGATATTCTTTCATTCCAACAAATATTATGATACACTTTTCAGTACCTAAAGTGGGGTAAGAAAAATAAAGGGAAAAGATTTTTATAGGTTATATTTTCAGTTGGCTAAGATTTTAAAGAAAAGGTCTAGGCTTAAAGGGTCTAACAAGGAATAAATTACATGGGATGGTTATTTGGCTAAGTAGGCTAAAAAAAAGAATGCCTAAATCATCTTTATACAAATCATATGCAATTATAGTCTCAACCAAGAATCAAGACAAGTTCTAGAGTGGGAGTAGTGATAGGAGAATACATACAAGAAGAGAATAATATTAGGCCCAAATCCTCACAAGCTAAAGACTATCACATTAATTCATTGAAACCAAATTCATAGCCACTTAACTTGAACTCCAAACATAAGATCAATCATTTATCATGCTCAAATGCATTCAAACTAAAATTACCTTAAACTTGCAACTTCACAAAAAAAAAACTAAAAGTAAAAAAAAATGCAAAACCTAATTTAAAAAAAAATTAAAATAAAGACAAGTCCCTTCCCCACTACTTAAATCTTGCATTGTCCTTAATGCAATTCAATTTAAAATAATCTAGTCAATACAGTAATAAAATATAAAATGCAAGGTACAAGTGAAAGGAGAAGAGACAACCAGATAATTTAAATCTCTGTAAGCTCTTAAAGTTGAAATTCTCATCTCTGGTGGAGAATAGATGCTTGTTCAAAATATTTTTCTCTCTAAGCTCATCAAAAGCTCCTCTAGGCGGTGGCTTTGGATCAATTGGCAGAGGATTCAAAATGTATAAAAAATGATGAGCCAAGCCCTCTCTATATATGAAACAACCAATAAAATCAAGTACTCTCTCATCAGTAAGAGTCATAGCTTTTGCAAAAAGAGCCATTAGGAATTTTCCTTTATCTAGTTGAAGGTTGCATGATAATATTTCCATTGAAGATGGCCTTTATATAGTAAAAGGAGTTTTTCTAATCATAAGTACCTGCTCATGAAGCTCAATAGAAACAACAAAATCTTCCACACAAGCACTATTAGAGTCAGAATGTATAATATAATTAATAATTCCATTACTCTTAGTATTATCAATACCATCACAAAAGCTCATAGGGATTACAAGATCAATGTTATCTAGGTGACCAACTAAATGCACTATCTCATAAGCATTATAATCAGAAGGCTTAACACAAATAGATGAACTAATAGCCTTGGAAGAATCAATATAGTCAAGTGGATCATCACACTCAATAGAGTTAATGCAAATAAGAGGATCCAACAAATCATCAGAGTTTATAAGTTCATCTATTTCAACATAGGCAATACAATTATGTAGGCTATCAGATGTACAATGCATAATGTTTTCATAATTCACCACATTAGGCAACTCAGTAATTAAATCATCCCAAGTCTCATCACATTTCTCATTCATGAATGAAGGATAATCATACTGAGTTTCCTTACTAAGATCATCATTAATGCAAGATAACATGTGCTCTT